CTTACCGGACATAAAACCGGAGTCACCCTTAGATCTAATATTAAAGATCCACTTCTTGTTAGTCTCTCCGCTATCAGTATATCCTTTAAACTCGTGAAGTGGACTAATCTTGTTGTGAACGCCAACAATGACCCCGATTTCACCCGGTCTGATCATTTTGCACAGGCCTTTCCGGTTGCGCACCGGCTCTAAACTCATTGGATCTACTCTTATGATACAACCCGAGTATATGAGCCGAAGGAATATCCCGTAATACCTATTATTATGATATATTTGATTGTATTATAAGGCTATCGAATTTAAATAATCTGATGGCTATTACCATGGTATAAAACCACATGAGCCCTCTTTATCGTTGAGGTTAACTGTAAAATATTAACAATAAATTTAAGTTACTTAAACTAAACTTAAAATTAAGTTTGTAATGTTGTAATATATTTATATTGATTACCCAAATAGACATTGGCTTCGGAGGCGCCGTAAAACTCAAAGATATGTTTGATAGCGAAGCGGGTCTTGAATTGATTCCAATAGGCTTTTCTCAACCCTATGCCACACATGGCTCTGATCTGATGCTTAGTATCCTCTGGTTTGGGTGTTTGAGACAACAAATACCTACACGTCTCGCCGATATATAAACCAATCTATAACCAAAATAATTTAAAATTCTTAAAATATTACATTAATAATTTTATTATTAATACAGGGTAAATTAATTGCCCGTACAGTGCAGTTGTATTTGATACAATCGGTCCAAAAATTGCTGGCAGAGAATCTTTCAGAAATACTTAAAGTAACGCCATTTATAAGACATGTGCCCGTTATTAAGACCCCAGCGAAAGCATGATATAAGGGTAACGGCACGTATATGTTGTCATTCTTCCTGAGCTTATAGCCGATGTGATGGCCACTCGCGCCCAACAACATCCGGGCGTCAGTTTCAATGGCGGCCTTTACTTTACCACCGGTTGTGCCCGAAGTGAATATGTATACCAAATGGTCGCTAAAATTTCGCTTGTGGTAAATATCGAGACTATTCTTTGAATAGTTATCCAAGAGATGCGAAAATGATTGAGATGTAAATTTTGTTGAATACGTGTTGTTATTCACATCTTTAGACCAAATTAAGTATTTCACCGACGGATAGATTTCATTCACTTCGCTAGAAATGTCTTCAAATGCTGTGAAAACAAACAATAAATATATAAATGTAACAAATACTGTACATTAAAGCGACAGAACATTGCATGCTATAATATAATGTAAATTAAACCAAATACCTTGATTGAATTCATAATCATAGATAATTGCTTTGCATTTAATGGCTTTCAAGCAATTAATAAGTAAATCCAATCTGTTATTAGTGTTAATAAAAGCTGTAATAATGCCCACTTTAGCCAAACCCAACCAAATGCCTATGAATTCAGGTTTATTGTTCATCATAAGCGCCATTTGATCGCCGGCTCTGAATCCAAGAGATGTGAAATAATTGGCCACTTTGTTGGAGAACTGGTCCAACATTTTGAAAGTCCACGTCTGGGTCTCAGACTTAATGGC